AGCACCCCAGCTGCTCTGCCCCAGGCGTCCCCAAGTCAGCTTCTGCTGAAACTGACCAGCGCTGACTACAGGAAGCCCCAGGCAGAGTTGCTCTGCCCCGGGCTTCCTGGAATCAGCTGCTGATCAGTTTCAGCAGCAGCTGACTTGGGACGCCTGGGGTTCTTAAGTTGATTCTGTATGTAAGTCAGAACTGGCGGTCAGTTTCAGCAGTGTCTGAATCTGGACGCCAGTTCCGACTTACATACAGATTCAACTTAAGAACAAACCTACAGTCCCTATCTTGTACGTAACCCGGGGACTGCCTGTATTGGTTTTCTTATGGTGAAAAAATCCCAAGCTTGTTTCATTGTTCTGACCTCCTGCCAACCTATTTCTGTTCTATTTAGCATTGGCTACAGTAGGGCTCTGGGCATGAGATGGGCTGGGTTTGTACTCCGCTGTGGAGGATCAGGGCATTTCATTGTTCCACACTTATGGTATTCTGTAAATAACAACTTGTGAAGATTCATTTTGAAAAGCATACTATTTTGGAATAACGGAGACAAATAATAAAGTACCACAAATAAATAACTTTAAACTAACCAGATAAGTAGAGTTACTAATTTCACATTTCCTCAGTAACAAATCAAGGTTCAGTAACGTTCAGTTAAAACTGGCAAGGGTTAATCAGCCACATTCTGATTACAATATGAAGATTTTGGTATTGTGTGACCTGAATATCATCTTGTGGTCCCAGAATCAGTTGGAATCATCATAATAGATAGTATTGAACATAATTGCCAAACTCTGTTAGAATTGTGTATTTCACTTAAACTACACTATTTTTGTTTCAAGATTTCCAATATATTTTCTGGCATCTTACCCTAAGTATTAAGTATTTTTGGTCATAACTTTCTTTATAAAATGTCTTTTTTTTTTTTAAAGCTTGCAGACAGAAGTCATCGGTCAGTTTCCTTAGTCGATCTGATCGTCCAAATATAGCGTATAATAAGATAAAAGGCAAGAACCCAGGTGTTGTCTTCCTCCCAGGCCTTAATTCAAATATGAACGGACAGAAAGCAGTTGCACTTGAGGATTTCTGCAAATCTCTTGGTCATGCTTTTGTCAGGTACAGTCAAGAAGATTGTTTAGAAAAACTAGCATGAATTACAGTGTGGCAGGCAGGATTGAAGAATTCTGTAAAATACCTTTAAGATGCTGTAAATTCCTCCTCCATTTCAGCCTGTTAGACTTCTGAAAGTGTGTAATGTAAGAGATAAGGTCAGCCTCTTGTGATATTGTATCTGACAATCTGTATTGGAGATATGTTCATCTTTTCTATGCAGAGGTTATTTAAATCGGTAAAATGAATTTTTCAAGATACTTGCATGATTCATTGAAATTGCAATTTTCTCTATTCTAATTTTCTCTGATGTGCTTCATGAAATAGTACAGTTGTCAGCATAAAAATGAAATCTTCAGAATTAGAAATCTTCACTTAATTTATGGCTAGCACACACAAATTAAAATTGTGTACTTAAACTCCATTGTGTGAAGCACTGTGTTAGTGGACTCATACTTGAAGCTTCTGGATTTTGGGCCTTAGGTCAGAGTTCTCATTTTAGCTCTCTTATAGAATATTATTTGTGAAAACCCAACTGTTAAATATTATGAGCTCTGGTCAAGTATCTTGAATGGATTTAGAGAAATATACCCAGTGAAATTAATTGTATCATGTAGATGAAACATTCTGTACCTTCTTAAACTTAATGTCAAGTACAGTGATACCTTTCCCCTTCTCTCCCCCTCCCCCCCCCTGCATCCTCCCTCTATTCTGAAATGTGATTTGTCCTTTTCATATGTGTTCATTTTTTTTTAATTGTATCCTTTGGTATATATGGTTGTGATTATTTTCTTCCACTATTTGATCTGAGGAAGTGGGTCTGGCCCACGAAAGCTCATCATCTAATAAACCATCTTGTTAGTCTTTAAAGTGCTACATTGTCCTGCATTTTGCTTCAGCTACCCCAGACTAACACGGCTACATTTCTATCACTAGTGATACTTTTGTTATCCGGCACTCTGTTAACCAGAAAACTTTGTTAACCAGCATTGTCCCCAACCACAATACTGTCAGATCTTCAAGCGCACAGGTCTGGCTTGGTTTAACCATGATTGGTTTAACAATTTTTTATTTAAGAAGTACTAATCATCTTGAATTCAGAATAGAAATTTGAGACCAACAGCCTCAAACTACAAAACTACCAATTCAGAATAGAAATGTGAGACCAACAGCCTCAAACTACAAAACTACCAATATTGAAAACTTGAGTTTTACTATTATTGTCCATTGATGGCCCCTTAGATAACAGGAACATCCTAATCCCTGAGCATGTCGGATAACACAGGTTTTACTGTATTGAGAACATGCATCTTTATTGCAACATATTTATAAACCATGTATAGTATATAAAGGAGACTCTTGACTTTAAAGTCTAAAAATGAAAAATCATGTATGTCTGACTCGTTCTTCAAAAAGAATCCCCGCATATGTCTGAGTTCAGTTCAGATTTGTACATTTAAAGAGCTAATTAGTGCATTGGATCTGCTAGTTCTCCTGCTTACAAATCCTTATGTATATACTCTGACATCAGAGAATATTTCTCTTTTAACTGAAATTTCTGCAAACCTCCTTGGTTGAGCTATATTGTCTTCATTGCAGTAGTTTAATTCTGATTAATGGTCAAGAGTATTGTTCCTGTTCTGTGTAGGTAATGTCTGATGTAGTTTGTTCTGTAAGTAATATTAAATTTTTATCTTGAATGTTAACTTGCAGATTTGATTATACAGGATGTGGAAGTTCAGATGGTAATCTTCAAGAGTGTACAGTTGGAAAGTGGCGGAAGGATGTTTTATCTGTATTGGATGAACTCACAGATGGACCACAGGTTATATTTTATTTTTAAATATTGCATAAACTCTTCTCCCAAGTTAAAGCATTGCATATGCAGAATGCAGTTTAATGATCTTTGTGAATGATCATGTAAAAAAAAAATTACCTTTTATACTCGTTTCCTGCAAAAACTGTTTCAAATGGAACAAAAACATGTCAGTCATTAAGTATCTTATTACAGGAATGGCAGTGCTTGATCCACAAGCTAATAGCAATGGATATAACATTGTAGAACAACACTAGCTGGAAAACAGAGTAGGTTAGTCAATGAACAACTTGATGAGATACCATTTTAGTTCAAAACAGAATAAAGTTAAGAAGTCAGTGTTAAGCTGTCTGTTGCTTAGATACCTTGGCAATGGATACTTTCAAATGCAACAGAAAGCTCATTTTTAAATTAATGAGAGGGAGTTCTACTAAGGAATTACTTCTTATGTGAATCCGAGTGAATATTAGAACTATTGTAATGTGTTAATACTTATTTTGTCTTAATTGCTTGCATTGACAACATCTGACTTTTATTAATCAACCTTTACTATGCTTATTTAAAAAAAAAATCAAATGTTTAAGGACTTCCACCGCTGGAAAAATAAAAGGTAAAAGTACTTGAAGCTCAACTACATTTCAGTTCTCATTTTGTTTACAATGAATGAGTCTAAGAAAGCAGTAACCTTCCCTAACGAACAAAAACCTGTAGATCTTGTGGTGCTTGCTTAGGCAAAATTCCCACTGCGAGTGACTGACTGCAGTTTTGCTGAACATTATGCCCTGGGTTTAAGTAGCTAAACAAAGTTGAAAATGTTTTTTTAAAAAAAGTAAAGTGATAATTCAGATAGAAGAATCATCTTGTGTGTTTTGTTTTTCAAATTTTATTTTAAGATTCTAGTAGGATCCAGCCTGGGTGGATGGCTAATGCTTCATGCAGCAATTGCTCGTCCAGAAAAGGTGACCGCTCTAGTTGGAGTAGCTGCAGCTGCAGACTATGTTGTGTCAACTTTTAAACAACTTCCCCTTGAGGTAAATGGTAACTGCATTTAATATTCTGTGAAAAATTTTGTAAACTTATAGGTGTGAAATACCATGTTAAAGTTTTTCATTTTAACTTTATAGTTAAATGAGCGGTAATAGTTGTTGAGCTCACCACCTGCAAAATAGTAGAAGTCTCAATTTGAAATAATCAGAATTGGCTAAAATGAAAATTTGTCACTACCACCCTATGTAAGAGCCTTATTGGGGATCAGGCACTCCTTGTGTTAGGCACAGTGCAAACACAAAACAAAAAGATGGCCCCTGCCCCAAGCAACTTAAAATGTATAGAAGACAGAAGACATCCGATACATACAGAAAGGGAGAATACAAAGAGACAGTATTGGTCAGTATAATACACCAGCAATCTGTCAGGATTTTTTAGGCATCATAACAAAGAAGAGTTCTGAGCAGTGTTCATGAAGTGGGATAAGAAGTAGGTAGCTTTGCACTTCTTACCAGGAGCACCTTCCATATATGAGGAGCAGTATGGGAGAACAGAAAGATGCTAGTTTGAAATTGTAGCAAGTGACCCATTAAGGGTGGTAACATGGACTGATCAGAGGCAGGAGTTGTCATTTGATCATGAGTGAAAAATGATAGGTAGGCTGGGAGTAAACAGTGAAGGGCTTTGAAAATGAAGATGAGCAGCTTATAAATGATATGTCAGTGGAAATGGTATGGGAAAAGAGTGCTGGTGTGGTCAAAGAAGCAAGCTAGGAAAATTATATTTGAAGAAGCATTTGTCAAGGCCAAAGAGAAGAATGTTGCAGTAATTGAGATGTGACATCATTAGGGCTTGGATAAATCTTAGTTGCATGGATGGATAAGCAGGTTGTCTTTTAAAGACATGCAGAAAGAAAAGGGGAGAGACTGTCTATGGATTAAAGAGAGGTCTGAGTCAAATGACTTCTGGGTTATGACAGCAGGCTGATTGAACAAAGTGTGGGGAGGGAAAGACTAAGGTAAGTGTGACTGTTCTACCTCAAAGACCAAATTGTAATTTCATATACAGGTTGTTACCTCCTTTAACTGGGACACTCTGGTCCAGCAGCATCCGTGGTCCAGCAGATGTACCTGGACCACAGAGTCCAGTTATAGGGAGGTCTGGCCATGGGGCAGGAGTGCAGTAGGAGACTGGGGGTGGTGGCTACTCATCTAGGAGCCCCATGGGGGAGGAGAAAAGGCAGCCGGTGCAGCTGGGAAGTCTGACCCCAACAGCTGGACAGTAGCAAGGATGCAATAGCAGCCACGCAGGCCCCGGCCTCAATGGTAGATCTTCCCCTGGTCTGGCAAATCCCCTCATTTGGGACCAGTCAAATCCTGAGGGTGCCAGACCAGGGAGGTACCAATGCTACTGTAACAGATATGGCAGTTTCCTACAATATCTGTGGGAGATCATAATGTATTAATCTGAAATAGCTTTGGAATCCTTTGTATCATTAGTACAAAGTTTATATATTATTGTGGGGAAGAGATCTCTTTTGACATCTCTAGGGGAAGAGATGTGGCCAGTGTAAACTGGAGAAGCGTAATAAGCTTCAAAGGGCTATTTTCAACATTGTTCCAGATGAAAGGAAACTTTTGGGACAAATCAAGTTAAGTGGGTTTGCTAGGAAGTACTGAGTGTGCGGGAGGTGAAAGCAGGTTCCCATACCCACCCTTTTTGAGGTGAAAACTGTGGTCTGACTGACTACCTATTCATGGTCTTGGAAGACCAAATCTGTATGAAGGAAAGGTGTAGTCTGTGTTATGAGTAAAGCTTGTATGAACTTGAAACTACACTTCTTGTTGGGGTTTCAAGGACTGATGGCATACTAGAGCCCTTGCTGGAGCTAGGGGTGATCTCCACTAGGCTTATTAATGTGCATATAGGTTTTATTATTTACACAGGTCTTGTCTAGTTCTTGCATCTTAAAATAAATGTGCCTGTTTAGGAAAAGGGAGTGTGTTTACCTGTAACTCTGGCAGTTAGTTACACTGTTTATAGCCTCTGAGAAAGCAAAACATAGACATGAGCCTTTTCCCTGCCTTGCTGGGAAATTGACATGTGGCAGGGAACTGTGAAGCCTGGAAATAATGGGCTCTCCACCCCCATCCACAGCCACATGTGACTCTCAGGCAGCAGGTAGAACAGAAGGTTTATTTATTGCCAGGGACACTGCATAGCATAGGATAGTTGTGAATACAGGAACCAGGAGCAGTCAGTATCATTCCTCTTGAGGAGAAGATAATTTGTCTGGGGCCCTTCTCCCCCTCCTCCCCTTCCCACTGTAAGCCTCTTCTTCCATCCTAAAATCCCACAGAGACCGTGCCCTTCCCCTAGGCCTGTGTTTCTCAACCTTTTTTTTTTTTTTTTTTAAAATAAAGTACCCTTTTTAAAAAAGAATTAAGTACCCCCTTTAAAAAAAAAAAAAGTACCCCCAGTACCTACAGTTTTCAGTCACACAGAATTTGTTTCTACCATTGCAACACATTTGTTTAAACAATTTAATTGTAGCCAATTAAATTTTTGGGTGTAAAAAGTACAAAAATAATAAAGCGCTGTAAAACTTAAACAGAAATTCAGTTTTCTCCAAATTTCATTTGTGTTGACGTACCCTCTCCCCTCCCCCCCCGACTTCTCTCAGGTACCCCTAAGGGTACTCGTACCACTGGTTGAGAGAAACTCCTGTAGGCCCCAGCTTGCACTCGGCCCTTCCTGGGCAGAAGTTATCTCCTAGGGTATGTCTAGACTACATGGCTCTGTCGCCAGAGCCATGTAGATTAGTTAACTAGACGTAGCCAAATGGGGGGAGAAGGGCCCACTAGTTTGGACACATCGTGGTCGACATTAAAGGCATTTGTCAACCACTCTGGTAAACCTCATCCCATGAGGCATAACAGGGCGGTCGACAAATGCCTTTGATGTCGACCGCGGAGCGTCCAGACTAGTGCGCTGAGCCGACAAACAGCTGATCGGCTCAGCGTGGGAGCCATTTTAATTTAAATGAAGCGGCAATTATTTAAATTGCCGCTTCATTTGGGTATGTCTAGCAAACTAATCTACATGGCTCTGGCGACAAGAGCCATGTAATCTAGACCAACCCCTATTGTCTGGCCCTCAGATATGAGAGGCCGAATACATTTCTTCAGTGAGTCATGCCCCTCCCCCTCCAGACAGTGTTGCAGTACCCAACACTGGGTACCCAGGGAAGCTGAGGAACGCACACTCACACAGTCACTACAGAACAGCACAGGAAAGTAGGAATCTCATATTGCACAACAAAACAAACAGTTAATACAGTCCCCACTATGTCACATACCCAATTGGGAGAAAAAGAGAGGCAGCTCTCTCAACAGAAGAAGGAACAGCTGAGGGACTGGAAGCCTAAAGTGGGTATCCTTGACAGATGACAGAGTGGGGAATAGAGGTGCAGTTGCAAAAACTACTGTTAAGATTGCAAATGAACTTTCATTTGAACCTTATTTAATTTGGGTTATATCTGGGATAGAAGTAGGATTCCTCTGTATAATATGAGTCATACTTCATTTGGGCTGCAAATTTGACACCTTCAGTGATTGTTGAAAAGTTTACCTGAGTGCACAATTCTAGTGTAGCTTTTTGATTTTTGCTAGCAATACCTTTATAATATAACTAGGGCTCTCAATTGACTTGCGTTAATGCCTACGATTAACGCAAGACAGGATTAATGTGTTAATCCTTTTAACGCGTTAATCGCAGGCATTAATGCTGCACTGACCCTTTGAAGGGGCTTTGCAATGCAGAGCCGGTAATCAACTGGAGTCCCCAGCTGATCCCAGGCTCCTAATGCGCTGCCCCTTTAAAGCGCAAAAATGGCACTTCAGAGGGTCAGTGCAAGCGGAGCTGGGTATCAGCTGAAGTCCCCAGCTTTGCTATTGCAAAGCCCCTTTGAAGCACCAGAACAGCACTTCAAAAGGGCTTCATAACCCAGAGCCAGGGATTAGCTGGGACTCCAGCTGACTCTGGACTCCACCTTGCCCTGCCCCTTGGAAATGCCGCTGTGGCACTTCCAAGGGGCAGCGCTGCATGGAGCCTGGGTCAGCTGAGGACTCCAGCTGATTCCAGGCTCCTGTGGTGCTGCCCCTTTGAAACACCACTGCTACATTTCAAAGGGGCAGCACATGTGATTACGTTTTTTTTTATTCGCGCGATTAATTGCAGTTATAATTTTTTTATCACTTGTCAGCCTTAAATATAAGAAGGGCTTATCATGGATGATGGGAGGGAATGTCCCATCAAAAAGCTTTGGTTTTATTGGGCTGCCTAAATACTTCACTTTTTGTGAGGAAGAAAGGCATCAAATAGTCTCCTGTTCCCCCTGCCCTCATGTTTTTATCTGCTCGTCTTCCTTGGTGACTTCTTTGTGTTCCAAAGGAATGAAGTCCTGTAGGAAGGGGAGAGTCAGGAAAACATATCAGGTCATAATTCTACCGCTCCCTTTCTGTGAACTTCCGGAGATGTGATAAATAGCTGAAGGCAAACCTTTGGAGACAAACAAATGAAAAGCCCCTATTCCCCATGAGTCTTTCACTCGCTGACAGTTTGTGAACACCTCAGACCCTTATTTGACTTCATAGAAACTAAAACCAGTTGTGGCTTGTTATGGGGCTGATGACTCTTTTGGCTTGGTCATGACTGAGAGGGGCTGCTTTTGTGAGAGCCCTGAATAGCTGAAGTTTATACGAGGAAGGTAGAGATCAGCTTCTAAGGCTCAGTGTGGGGGTTTCCCTCCTGCACATGTCGGGGGATCATAGGAATGGGTCAGATATCTCTCTTTCATAATAAACTTGCAAGACTTTGGTATTTTGTTTTTGTTCTTAGTAAAGTGCTAAAAACAGAGTTCAGGAGTCTGGGTGCCTACTATAAAAAGAGTACATTAAATTTGTCTGGAATATTCTTTTGTCTTTTCTTTTTCTAAACAGGCCCAAAAAGAAATAGAAGAAAAGGGAGAATGGAAGCTGCCAACAAAACACAATGAGGAAGGGTTTTATTGTTTGCCATATGACTTCATTAAAGAGGCAGAAAACCACTGTCTGTTGAACAGTCCTATTCCTATAACTTGCCCCATAAAACTTATCCATGGCATGAAGGATGAAGATGTCCCATGGCAGGTATCCATGGAAATTGCAGATCATGTTCTTAGCAAAGATGTGGATGTTATCCTCCGCAAAGTTGGTCAGCACCGAATGAGCGAGAAGGACGACATGAAACTTCTTGTGTACACAGTTGATGATTTAATTGACAAGCTGACAACCCAAGCATGAGTTTCATGTTTACACTAACGCATGAGATTAGCACTCAGCTCTCTTCTGTGATTGACCAAAACCTCATTTTTGATGGCAGTGTGATGCTGATGAATCTGGAAGGGTGCAACAGTCACAAAAGAAAGGGTGTGGAGCTTTAACTTCTGTTTCCTTACCTCTGTTTTGTAAATAAAGGTGTTTCCTTAATGCTGCATTTGCACAAATGGTAGAAAATGTGAAGAAAATGCTGCTGTTTGTTGAAAAACTTTCCTCCGCCTTGATTTCCTATCACTTTTTTCACAAGTTTCCTACACTGTTTTGTACTGAAACATGTTTACCTTTCTTATATTTGTGCCAATGGTTAATTTTTGCTACAATTTAAACTGTACAATGCAACTTAATTTTTAATTCCTCTTGACACTGTAACATAAATATCGTGCTTTATGCTTTAAGATTATTCCATTTCTGAGTTATGGAGCATATATGGAGCCCTTCCACTCCAAATATGCTCCTGAAATGTTCAGTGAAACTAAAGCCCCTAGAAAAATAATGGGGGAGCATGCAGCATAATAAAGCTGGCTTCAAACTCAAAATGACTTTTAGTATTCATATTAAGTTATAAAACAGCTAAACAATACTTTGGTGTCCTTTGGGCAAGTTTGATTTTTTTGTTTCTCAGAGTAATTAAAAACTGAAACTTCAGTTCTACAAATGTGTCTCTCTAAGCTCATTACACCAGATATAAAGGTATGGCCAGTGTTTAGGGTCCTAAGTTTGATATCTACTATTGTGTTCTGTAAGATTTGAAACAGTAAGATATTTCTGCATTAGTGAATACATTGAATTCTGTTAAAGCAGAGTGAAGAAAGCAGGAGTTGCCCAACATCCCTCCCTAATGTCACACAGAAACTTACATATACAATAGCACTTCTTTTAAAAGTTATGTGCCATACTTGATCTAGTTCTTATTTTTCAACACTGCTTAAGTCAACTCTGTGGTGCTTTTTATTTGTAAAATTAGGTTTTTGTGCAGCATGAAAGCCTACTCAGCCAGCCAGATTAGCCATTTCTGTTTGTGATGCTTTGACTTTTTACCTTTCTGCAACAAAACTTAGCCATACTTGTAAACCTGAAGAAGTGGGTTGTGCTCATGAAAGCCTATGATACCATCTAAATTTTTGTTAGTCTCTAAGTATTGCAGGACTATTCATTGTCTCTTAATTTTTTCAGTTAGCTGCGCAGTGTAGGCATAGTGTAGGCTTCCGGTATCCCAAAATAGCTATTCCGCATCTTTGGAACAGGCCCATTATTTTAACATATAACAGGCTTGCTATTCCACCGTCCCTGTAAACTTTGTTCTATGAAGTGTAGGGATGTTTTGGAATAGCACTCTTTCAAAATTTGGTGCTGTATAGTCAGTACCAATTTTTGAAACAAGCTATATTGAAATTAACTCGAAATAAGCTACCCAATTTGTGTAGCTCAAATTGCATAGCTTATTTTGACCTATGGGTGCAGTGTAGACACACCCTTACAGACAAACAGAGCTATCCCTCTGAAATATATCTATATGAGAGCCTGGAATTGATTACCAAACATGAGCAATGCTACACCTTAGTCATAAGCAAAACAATTTGGAATTTACAGGTTTCATTTAATTCAAATGGTAAAGTACTTCAGTACTGTCAACTGAGAATCAGGCCATAACAGGGACAAGTTATTCAGGAGAATTTCACGTGGTTATTAAGCCCCTACTATTTTTATCATATGGATGTTTTATTATTACTTCATGATGGGTTTAGGAACTCTTGAATGACTTTGAGAAGTGGGGTTTATGTATACATTTCTTTTAGTACACACAAAAATTGCATTCCTCATAGATTTCAGAATTGAATGGGAGAAATGAAATACAGAAAGCTTTAAATAAAAGGAAGCTATGATACAGGCAGTCCCCGGGTTACATGGATCCGACTTACATCGGATCCCTACTTACAAACGGGGTGAGGCATCCCTGCACTAGCTGCTTCCCCCCAGCAAACCAGGGAGACGCGAAGCTAGCGCCCCCCCTCCCCCAGCAGACCAGGGAGACGTGGAGAGGCTTTTCTCAGCAGACACCTCAGCTTGAGAATAAAGGACTGAGGGAAGTGAAGTGTGGGAGAATAAAATTGAGCTCTGGAGAAATGTTTGGCTAGAGTTTCCCCTACAATATGTACCAGTTCCGACGTATGTACAAATTCAACTTAAGAACAAACCTACAGTCCCTATCTTGTACGTAACCCGGGGACTGCCTGTACATACATTTCTCTCCACACCTTTCCTAATTTTAGACCTCTGTCTCATCCCTCCCCCCAAATCCCCCCTCCCAAGTCATCTTTTATCCAAGATGAACAACCCCCATCTTTTCAATCTTCTCTTACATGGGAGCTATTTCATATGCCTAGTAATTGTTGTTGTCCTGTTTACCTTTTCTGTTTTTACTATTTTTTGAGAGGGTGTTCAGACCTGCATGCAATATTCCTGAGGTAGGTGTACCTGGATTTTATAGAGTGACATGATATTTACTCTCTTATTATTCCCTTGCCTAATGTTTCTTACCACTGGTAGATTTTTATTTTATCTTTTAACCTGCATTGAGCAGATGATTTCCCAGAACTGTCCAGGATGCCTCCAAGATCACATTTTGAGTGATAATACTTGATTTAGAGCCTATTGTTTTGTATGTATAGTTGGGGTGATGTTTTCCATGTGCATTACTTTGCATTCATCAACATTTCATTTCAGCTGCCATTTAGTTACCCAGTTTTGTGAGATCCTTTTGTAGCTGTAGTTTGGTGGATTTACTGCCATGGTGTCCTCACAGTTCTCTGGCTCTGTCAATGATAATAATAAGAAGGCTGCTTACATGTGTGCTCAATGATGTGGGCCCAATGACCACAGTAGACCCCAAGAGGGCTCCCAAAAACCACAAACCAGAGAAGGATGGAAGCTGCCAGGCCAGGTTTATTGTAAAGTGAAGTACAGTAACAGTTGTCAGTAGACTCTACTGAACCACTACACATCTGTACTTGCCACAATGGAATGACTCAATCTGGAAAATTCCCTCTGCCTCTTAGGACATACAAAGACTGTCCCCGCAAGACACCACTTTATATACAGGTACAAAAAACTCACACCTCACTGCTGATGTATCAGGTTGCCACCCTCTGATGCTACTTAGATTCCACTCATCACCCTGTACCTTGTGGTTTGATTAAATCATCTCTATCCATCATGCTGTCATTTTAGACCCTTTCCTGAATCGGGGTTGGTATTTGTGGGGAGCGGGTACCAAGGTCTTTTTTTAACAAACTGGTGGTACCATGTGATTTCAAGTTATGACCAGTGCCAATTATTGTTCTGTACCTGGGCCTATTACCTATTAGTGTTTTGCACTCTTAGCCCTGTTTGTGCCAAGTTCTGTGAGCAGGGGCCTGTCTCTTGCTCACAGCTTAGCTTTATGTTAGCCATGTTTTGTCCATTGTGAGGTAGGCCTCAGACCAGGTCTGTGTTGCATTGGCTCATGTTGTAGGCCTTCATCTTACTACAGTAGCCTTTCACAGTTAGTTTTGGACTTAACTCTCAAGTAATTTTGTATTGTCTGAGAACTTTGCTGCCTCACTGTTTTGTCTTTTTCCAGCTAACATATGAATATGTTGAACAGCACTAATCCCAATACAGTTTCCTTGGGGATATCACTATTTACTTGTCTCCACTGTGAAAAATGACCATTTATTCCTCCATTTGTTTCCTAGCTTTCAACGAGTTACTGATACATGAATGGAGTTTCCCTCTTATTACATCACTGACTACTTTGGTTAAGAGCCTTTAGTAAGGGACTTGCTTAATGGCTTTCAGGAAGTCCAGTACAGTATAGTCAATGGATCAGCTTTGCTTGCACATTTGTTTGGCATTTGTTTTCCGTCTTCCTTTATAATAACCCAGACAATTATTTTATTTAATGGCCACCTGCTCAAATAAATTACTTTGTTACCTTTGTAGACATAATGGCTACGTCTACACTGGCCCCTTTTCCGAAAGGGGCATGCTAATTTTGAACTTCAGAATAGGGAAATCCGCGGGGGATTTAAATATCCCCCCCGGGATTTAAATAAAGATGTCCGCCGCTTTTTTCCGGCTTGTAGATAAGCCGGAAAAAAGCGTCTAGACTGGCCCGATCCTCCGGAATAAAGCCCTATTCTGGAGGCTCTCTTATTCCTTACTTCAAAGTAGGAATAAGAGATCCTCCAGAATAGGGCTTTATTCCGGAGGTTCGGGCCAGTCTAGACGCTTTTTTCCGGCTTATCTACAAGCCGGAAAAAAGCGGCGGACATCTTTATTTAAATCCTGTGGGGGATATTTAAATCCCCCGCGGATTTCCCTATTCTGAAGCTTAAAATTAGCATGCTCCTTTCGGAAAAGGGGCCAGTGTAGACGTAGCCAAATGTGCTTGCACTATTCTTGCGCATTTTGTGTTAAATTGTTTTAAACTGATTTTATTAATCCTTACTTGACATAGCGGGATATCTTCCTGTTCTCTCTAGAAAACATCATTCATATGCTTTCATAATACTTACAACCTGTACTTTGTCATTTATTTATGCTAATCTCCCTGTTCAATTCATTGTCAGATGCAAAGTATAATTTAAGAACAGATAGCATACTAATTGGATCTTGCTTACTATACAAGAAAGCTAATGTTCTGTTCCATGTGCATAGTCAAGTATAACAACCAAGGTAAGTACAGTAAAACATGTATTATCTGTCATGGTCAGGGATTAGGGCGTTCCAGTTATCTAAAAATTCCAGTTATCTGAGGGTCCCATCAACCTAGGAAAAACCAATGGACAATAACAGTAAAACTCAGGTTTTTAATATTGGGAGTTCCATGTATGATGAGCTTACATAATGTGACCTCAATGAGCCATTGCTTATATTTTCCAAATTTTAATCACTTAAATTTCTACTAGTCTTTCTGTGGGTAAAGGGGGGGCAAGAAAGTGTTGAACCTGGGGAGGGGTATGATTATGTGTGTGACAGTGAGGCAGTTACCACTCTACCCTCAGTATCCTCCTTTGTGAAGATTGGGTACTCTCCAGTTACCCCAGACCTACGTAAGAGGAAGTTAATGCTGATTTTTGTCAGAATTCCTTTATCCATTTTCATAGACTAAGGCCAAAAGGGACTATTCTGATCATCTATCTGACTGCCAGCATTGCACATTCTGTGAAATGTCCCTTAATTTCACCTTCACATCCAATAACTGTGGTTGAACTAGAGCATGACTTTTTAAAAAGAAATCCAATGTTTACTGAAAAATTTCCAGTGATACAGACTCTACCACAATCCCTAGTAAGTTTTTCATGCTATTTAAAATTAGTTGTGCCTTATATTTAGTCTGAATTTGTCTAGCATCAGCTTCCAACTATCACATCTTGTTATGCCATTGTTTGCTAGGCTGTTGAGCTCTCTATGTTCTCATTTTTGTTCTCAAATCATCCCTTAATATTCTCTTTTTAGGCTCAAAGAGCTCAGTCTATTTAGCTTATCATTCTGAGGCCTCTTTTCCAAACCTTTAATCATTCTGGTGGCTCTGCTTTGGATCCTTTCCCTTTTATCAACATCCTTCTGGAACTGTGGGCACCAGAACTGGACCCAGAATTCCACACGTGCATCGATGCCAGACAGAGAGGTAACATATTCTCCTTCCTACTCAAAGTTCCAAGGATCACAATGGCCTTTTTGGACACAGTGTCACACTGGGAATTCATGTTGAGCTGATTATCCGTCAGAATCCCCAAGACGTTTTCAGGATTACTTCTTCCCAGGATAAAGTCCCTGATCCTACTCTTTTTACATATCATAATAAAATCCCCTCCTACCAAACAAACTAAATCACTCTGTATCAGTGATCCAATTTTATTATTCATAGACAATATGAAGAATGGGGACATGGTAAACTTTCTCATAATGATTTTTCTTCCAGGTCACTGGGGGATGGGGGAGTTAAATAGCATAGAGCCAAGAAGATCCATGCTATAAAAACATGTTTGATGATGATTCTTTGCTTACAGTTACATTTTGAGACCTATTAGTTAGCTACTATTTAATCCGCAATATGTGCTGTTGATTTTCGTCTCATTTTACTTCCTTAATCAAAATGCTGTGTGATACCATGTCAAATGCCTTACAGAAGTCTATTCATCAACACTATTACCTTTATTAACCAAGCTTGTAATCTCACTTTTAAAAAATTTGGTTACTTTTCACCATAAACCTGTGTTGATAAATATTGGCTATATTCTCCTCCTTTAATTATTTATTGGGCAATTCTCCTATCAGCCATTATTTTGTCTGAGATCACTGACGTGGTTAACAGGACTACAATTACTTGTGTTGATCAATGTACCCTTCTTTTAATTATCACCACAATATTTGCTTTCTTTCAGTCCTGTAAAACTTCCCCTTTGTCCCAAGTTTTATTAACAATCAACATGAATGCTATGGTGAGCTCCTCTTCGTCCACAGTGTGGAATATCTCTTTAAGAGCAGGCACGGGGACAGGGTTGTGGGTGTGAGGGAATACTTTGCTGCAGTCTGAGAGAGCTGTGTTGCCTTGAAGCCAAAAGGAGCTGTGGCAAGCTTAGCATTGGTGCAGTGGAGCCCACTGTTAAGTGGGTACAGAACGTCTTGCTGCTGCCACAGAGATGATACATGCCCCAAATGATATAAAACCCCTTTTTAAAGAAAGGATTCCAAGCACGTCCTACAAGTACAAACCCTGGGTTTCCTGTCTCTCAAAAAGAGGAATCATTGCCTTTATATAAAGGTGACCAAATTCACATGCTGCTCTTTCTTTTTATAGGTTTTATCTCAAGGCTTGGTTAGAGATCTTTGCTCTTGTTTTCTGTAGCTGATCACTTCTGTGCACCTGAGGCAGCATGAAATAGAAAGGACCTGAGTAATAGCCTTGTCACATTATGCACACTCCTGAATTATGTAAGAATATATTTCAGGGGCTTTAAAATGACCAGTGCATACAACAGAAAGCACTAAATGAAATGCTTGTGGAGGAGAAAAATGAATGAGGTCGTCTATTACATTTTTCATCTACTGCATCTGGTTAAGCCCCAGGGAGTCCTGAGCAGTATAAATCTGAGAGCTCCAAAGCTTCAGAATCTGAAGGAAATGGAAGAGGAGAGAGTCACGTGACTGATATACAAGGAGCTGTAGAAAAGAAATGAAACTCAGTTTCGCTGGAAAAGACTTGATGTTGAATCCACATCAGGGCTTTACAAACCATTTGCAATCAGAGTTGATAGGTCTAAAAGGGTGCATCTGCACAGCACCCTTACTTTGAAAAAAGCGATGCAATTTGCTCTATGCAAATTGCGTAGCTTATTTCAAGGTAATTTCAAAATAAAACAGTATTCCAACAAGTCCCTTAGCCCTCATGGAACAAGAGTTATAGGGACGCTGGAATAGCATGCCTGTTATTTCAAAACATATTTTGAAATAATGGGTGCATTTAAAGATGCAAAATTGCTATTTTGGGATACTTCCGGTATCCTGAAACAGCCCCGCTGTTTAGACATAGCCAAAGGGCCCATATTGTAGCAGGATGGATTCAGAGCAAGGACAAAAAGATGTTATGACGTTTGGTGTGATTAAAGAAAGGATTTAAAAAATTGGTTTATGAGCCCTAAAACAGTTCCAGTTAAAACAAAACAAAACCCCTCTAGTATTCCAGCCCTGCTAGTGCTGTGATAGGGACCTCACTTGGTGTAAATTGACATCGATCTCTAGAGCGCCACAGAGCCATGCTGAGTCACACAAGCTGAGGCTAAGGTCCTTGTTCTCTACAACGTATTTGCTCATTTTTAGTCCAGTCATGCTTATTAATGTCACAAGTGAAGGGGCATCTAGCTTTTTCCTTGGAAGACTATTGACAACCTAATATGTCTTGCTGCTAGGAAGACTTGCTTTATTCTGTCTAATCAATCACTCTTTTGTTTAATTTTACTCATCACCCCTAATTATACCCTTGTTTGTACTTCAAATTATAGTCTCTCCACCCTTGGTTTTGGTTTTCTTCTTTCACCCTCCAATGATGACAGCACACAGGACGTGGAATAGGGAGAAAAATACTCTTCACGTATTCCAATATCTATTGGTTCCTATTACATTTGGATAATGAAATTATACCAACCGAGTCCTCCTATAAGTATTGTTTAACTATAGAGACGTCAGGTACTCTGCAGCTGGGTTCAGCGGCCAAATCTAAGTAAGGTAGAACTGGATCAAGAAAGTGAACAAAACCGAACAGGAGAAGTGGGCACTTAAACAGACTGCAGATTAGAGAGAGAGAGTGTTCTCCTTGGCTATGCTGAGTAGGCAGGCCTTTTAATGGCTCTTAGCAACGCCCCTGCTTTGACCCTCCTCATATGTGAGGAAAATCAAATCAATACACTGTTCTTCAAATCAGGATGCTGCAGCAGCAGGGTCGCACAGCAGCCTTCTTCTCTTCTTAAATTTCTCAGTGCTTTTCCATTCGATGGTCTCCGGATTTCTAAGCTTCACTGCCTGATTGCATCTCTGAAAGGATCCCTTGAGTTCCCATGTATAGTCTTCTTGTTATTAGCAAGTATTATGTAGGCAATTTTAAAGTACTTCTGGATTTGCTGGCAGTCGTGACACTGATCTGAAACTCTATTATAATCTTCTTGTTGCTATAGCAGAAATCTGACTTGCAATCTATTTTAATTTAAACTGCAGTTTGATTTTTGTTGTTAGGCTGTGAGAAAATGACTTTATTTAATTTTTCTCCCTGTAAAACCATTAAAGACAATGTCTGCTTTTGTTCTGATTTTTGGTAGTCAATCTGCATTGACGTATAGGTTGGGCTGTTTTATATACATAAACCTATCTTATCGGAACCCTATAAATAAACAATTTGTATTTTTGTTCCAGAGATGGCTAACAGAGGACCAAGCTATGGTTTAAGCCGAGAAGTGCAGGAAAAGATTGAACAGAAATATGACCTGGAATTAGAGAACAAGCTAGTGGACTGGATTATAATACAGTGCGGTGAAAAGATAGAGCATCCACCTCCCGGAAGGCAAAATTTTCAGAAATGGCTAATGGATGGAACAGTAAGTGTTGATCTAATTTCATATATACATTATTTTTATGTGTATAATGAATCCTAATCTATTAACATCTATACCCTAACTCTGTATTTTGATCTGATTGCACTGGCATGAGGTATAGGTTATTTTTGTATATTCTATTATACATATATATAGTATATACTGTTGACTGTACTATTAGAGGGTTCCTTTTGATCAGGAGATTTTTGCTATTTCAGAATAACTTTTCTTTCAATGTATTGGGATATGTATATTAGGTTTCAGTCCCTCCTTCTCTATAATTTCTCATAGAATAACAACAGATTTGCTTTTCCAATCAAGTTGGTACTTTTCTGCTAAGAAAACAAAAGTGTTGCTGTGTGTCTGTGTGTAATACACATGGACTTAGATTCATTTGATTTTGTGATAGTGTTTTCTCCTTGGAAATAATTCTTGAGCTATTATGTTGTATTTCATTGGTGTATCAGATAAACACACAAAAAAGCTGCTGTTTGCACTAGGCAGCAAGACTTGGCTACTGGCTGATGACTGAAACTCTTCCAACCTTGCTTTAACAGTATTTCAATTGATAGTGCAGTTGTTACATAACCTCTAGTAAATGATTGTTTTATTTCTTGCAGTAGCTCAATGCATGTTTGATCAGGTTATCAGTACCATTTAATAAAAGCTGTAATGGCACTTTAATACACTCAGAAAACTACCACTGGTATAGACAGGTTCTTTTTCTTAAAGAAATGATTTCTCTGAGAGATTCTACCCATGTTAGAGCTTCCCACTGCATAATCTAATACACAGAAATTGTCGTCTGCTTTAGTGACCTGGAACTAATTGATTTTTTTTTAAACTTCTGTTTCCTATTTTATCTCTTAGCTGTTGTGCAAGTTAATAAACAGTTTACATCCAAAGGGCAAAGAACCCATTCCAAAGATCTCTGAATCAAAAATGGCTTTCAAGCAGATGGAGCAAATTTCTCAATTCTTAAAAGCTGCTGAAATCTATGGAGTAAGAACAACAGATATTTTCCAGACAGTGGATTTATGGGAAGGTAAAAATAATAATGATACTGAAAATGAGCTTGCAGTCTTCATTCTGCTCTGCTTTGATGCTAAGAGTGCGTTTTATCCAAGGGAAAAAAAATATTTAATGTAATTATCTTTAGCTTCTGTTTGCTTTACCTCATTACCATTCTCTTCCAGTGGTGCATTATCTCCTCCAAGGGATTTATATTACCCTAAGGACATAATGGAATCTTTTCAAGTTAATGTATTACCCAAAAGCCATCATTGTAACAAAGCCATAAATGGAATAAAATAAGTGTATTTCCAAGCAAATATCTCCTAATAACAAATAGGGAGAACTCTGTTTTCCCGTGGCAAGCTTTTATCAAATATTTCAAATTGAGAGTGAGGCTTACATTTTACCTGTAAAACTGAATCAAAAAAAATCACTACCCCATTCAGGGAAAAATATATGTGAATTTTTTCAGCTTGTACAAAGTCTTTTACATTAATCATGACTAGTTAAAAGGAAAAATCACTAGTGACACACAAGAAATTTAGGTTTCCAGAGTTGTCAGCCTAACATTTTTCACCAGTATTAAATCCTCCTTAAAAAGATCACTATGGAAACATTCAGCTAAAACCTGAAAATGCCCCTGTGAGTCTGCAATAGCTTAGGTCTATGAAGATTTTTTCCATTCCACATGGGAACTAGAAGTGGTCTATATTATTTTCCCATGAACCTATGATTTTTTTCTGACAGGTTATTCATAGTGCTGCC